CTCGTCGCATGGTCCCGCGAGCTTGTACACTTATCGTCCTCCTGCGCCTCGTCCGACTTGCCCGAAAGTTTCTCGTTCCCCAAATCCACAAACCTTCTTCGGTTCCCTTCCACCTCGCCCTCATCCACCAGACCCCATTCGCATGCCTGGCCATCCTCCAGACCCCATTCGCATGCCTGGCCATCCACCAGATCATAATCGCACAAACCACTACCCACCCGATCCCAATTACTTGTATAATCCCAATGGCAAACTTCCGAAAGTTCCCTTTCCTCGGTTCGATGGTGACAATCCACGCCATTGGAAAACCCGTGCCGAGAAGTATTTCAAAATGTACTTCGCCCATCAGTCTGAGTGGATTAATGTGTCCGAGATGCACTTTGATGGTGCCGCTTCTCTGTGGTACCAGTCTGTGGAGGCTCAAGTTCCTGAGTGGTCCTGGGAGGATTATGTGCACAAATCCACGATCGATTTGATCGCGATCGCCACGAATTACTCATCAGACAAATCTTCCACATCAATAAGTCCTCCACAGTATCCGATTACCTTGCTCGTTTCTCTGAGTTGGTGGATCAGCTAAAAGTTTATTCACCATCTCGTGACCCCCTGTTCTATACCATGCGATTCATTGATGGACTGCGCCCTGATATTAAAAGTGTTGTTCATATGCATCGTCCAAAAGACCTCGAAACTGCCGCGACTTTGGCATTGTTGCAGGAGAAGATGGCTGGCAACGTCCCTGTGAAACCACCGAGACATGGTGATTGGCATTATTCGGCGCGCTCGTCTACCTCTACTAAGGGATCCCTGCCCTTGCCGCCACCTCCACGGCAGGACCGTGGTCCTCCAGCGACTGCCCCTCGCAAAGCTCCAACCAACGATGCCAAGCTCGCGGCCATCAAGTCTTATCGGCGTACCATGGGCCTCTGTTACAAGTGTGCCGCCCCATGGTCCAAGGACCACAAGTGTGCGCCTGAAGTCCTACTTGCAGTGGAAGCCGTATGGGGTGATTTTGTTGATCACACAGCTCAAGACCCAGATACTTCAGGGGATCCTCCTGATGAACAGATATTCCTGGCTATATCTAAGGCCACTGTATTGGGGACTGCCTCAGCAAGAACTGTCAGGTTTACAGGAAGTCTTATGGGTCAGCCGGTTCATATTCTTCTCGATTCAGGCAGCTCCTCATCTTTTGTTAATTCGGCGGTAGCAGCTCAGCTGACCAATGTACAGAGCGAGCCAATATCAACTCGAGTACAAGTGGCAGGAGGTTCTCACTTACAGAGTACTCTGTTGCTGCGTGGATTGACTTGGACAGTGGGTCAGTGCTCGTTCCAGTCAGATTTCAGGGTACTTCCACTGCATTCTTATGATGTTATTGTGGGCATGGATTGGTTAGAACAGTTCAGTCCTATGCAGGTTCACTAGCGTAACAAATGGCTTATTATTCCATATCAGAATAGCTTCTCGTTGCTTCAAGGCTTGGATTCTTCAGATGCATCTCCGTTGATCATGCAACTCTGTGCTGTGGAGGATTTACCTTCTCATGAATTAACCGTGGACTCCCTTCCTCCAGACATTCAGACATTGATACATGGGTTCCCTCGGTTGTTTCAGCCGCCTACAAGCTTGCCTCCTCACCGAGCGTGTAACCACACCATTCCTCTTATTCCAGGTGCCCAGCCAATTTTCATCCGCCCTTACCGCTACCCTCCGAACCTGAAGGATGAAATTGAGCGGCAGGTGACTGAAATGCTTGATCAGGGTTTAATCCAGCCTAGCTCGAGTCCCTTCTCATCTCTGGTATTGTTGGTCAAGAAGAAAGATGGCAGCTATCGATTTTGTGTGGATTTCTGACAGTTGAATGCTATTACAGCTAAGGGCAAGTTTCCAGTGCCAGTGTTCGATCAACTCATGGATGAACTTGCTGGTGCTAGTTGGTTCTCCACATTGGACCTTCGGGCCGGGTTTCATCAAATCTTGTTGAACCCAGGGCGAGGAATATAAGACGACATTTCAGACTCATTTGGGCCAATATGAGTTCTGCGTTATGGCATTCGGGCTCACAGGCGCTCCAGGAACGTTTCAGGGCGCTATGAACGAAACTCTGAGGCCTGGTCTACGCAAGTTTGTGGTCGTCTTCTTTGACGACATCCTGGTATACAGACGTTCCTATGAAGAACATTTGTCTCATCTTACTCAAGTTTTCTGTTGGCTGGCAGACGATCAGTGGTGTTTGAAGCTGTCTAAGTGTACTTTTGCGCAGCGATCCATTTCATATTTGGGCCATGTTGTGAGCGCCGAGGGAATCTCCACAGACCCTGCCAAGGTTAAAGCCATTGCTGATTGGCCTCAACCTGCTAATGTTAAAGCTTTGCGCTCATTTTTGGGACTCGCAGGCTATTACCGCAAGTTTGTGCGTAACTTTGGAATCATTGCGAAGCCTTTGACCGAACTTCTCAAGAAGGATGTGATGTTCATATGGACCTCAGTTCACGAATCTGCATTCCAACTGCTGAAGCAAGCACTTTGTTCCTCGCCGGTGCTCGCTTTACCTGATTTCTCCCAGCCATTTCACATTGAGACGGATGCCTACGGGTACGGCGTGGGTGCAGTCCTCACTCAAAACAGTCACCCTCTCGCTTACTGCAGTAAGGCACTCAGTCCCCGCAACCAAGGCTTATCGGTCTATGAAAAGGAATACCTGGCAATCCTCATGGCGGTAGAGCAATGGCGTCATTACTTGCTACATAATGAATTCATCATACACACGGACCAACGCAGCCTTATTCACCTCAATGAGCAAATGACTTCACCTGTGTGGCGGCGAAGGTGTTCACCAAGCTGCTTGGTCTCTGCGTTACAAAGGTCCAATCTGGCGTGGCGGGGAGAATGGCGCTTGGATGCGTTATCACGCGGCGGTCCGCCCTCTTGAGCTATGGGCCTATCATCTCTTACTCATGGCCCGCTTCAGAGTTAGTAGAGTGGTATGCTTCGACCAGAGGCACAAATCTCTTTATCACGATTAGCAATTGATCCCGATGCTTGGCCTCCTTTCAGTCTTCACCAAGGCATTATCAAATACAAATCTCGTATTTGGCTGGGCTGTAATACTGATGTTCAGAAGCGAGTTATTTCTGCTCTCCATGACAGCCCCGTTGGCGGTCATTCTGGAGTTCCTGCTACATTCCAGAAGGTCAATCAACTCTTTTACCGGTCGAAGATGCGAGCTGACATTCACACTTATGTCCAGTCTTGTTCGGTCTGCGCCCAAGCCAAGCCTGACAGGGCTAAATATCTCGGATTGCTGAGCCCTCTACATGTGCCAAAAAACTCTTGGGAACATATTTCCATGGATTTTGTCGAAGGATTACCTACTTCGGGATGCGCTAATGCCATCATGGTCGTGATCGACAGGTATTCCAAATATGCTCATTTCGTGGCCCGGCATCACCCCTTTTCAGCTGCGTCAGTTGCCCGGCTCTTTCTGGATTCAGTTTTTCGCCTTCATGGCATGCCTCTTTCTATTGTGTCGGATCGCGACCGGATTTTCTCAAGCAAGTTTTGGCAGTCTCTCTTTACTATGGCTCACACGGTTTTGCGCATGAGTTCTTCTTATCATCCGCAAACCGATGGACAAACTGAGCGTGTTAACCAGAGCCTGGAAACATACCTCCGTTGCTTCGTTCATGCTTGCACCACTCGTTGGACTCAGTGGCTTCCGTTGGCAGAATTTTGGTACAACTCAAGTTATCATTCTGCGCTCGGCCGTTCACCGTTTGAGGTATTGTATGGCAATCCGCCGAGACACTTGGGATTGGATCTTGATGTGGTAGCTCCTGTACCTGAGTTGTCAAAGTGGCCTGGAAGAACGTGCTATTATGCAAGATCTCATCCGACAGCACTTGCTCTGAGCACAAGCAAGAATGAAACGCCAGGCCGACAAAGGGCGATCTGAGAGGGTCTTTGCTGTTGGAGATTCAGTATACCTTAAACTCCAACCATATATGCAATCTTCGGTGTCCCATCGCTCCAATAACAAGCTCTCCTTCAAGTTCTTCGGCCCGTTCAGCATCTTAGCTCGCGTCGGCCAGGTTGCATACAAGCTGGAGCTGCCAGAGTCTGCTGCCATCCACCTGGTGTTTCACGTGTCACAACTCAAGCGGTCTGCAGGTTCTCAGGTGGTGGCCTCTACATTGCCTTCTGATTTTGTTGAGCTGCAGGTGCCAGAACAGGTCCTACAGCACCGTTGGACCACGGGGCCTCACCCAGTGGAGCAAGTTCTCATCAAGTGGTCCCAGATGCCTCTTGAGCTGTCTACTTGGGAGCCCCTTCTTCATCTCCGTCAGCAATTTCCAAGAGCTCCGGCATGGGGACATGCCGCTCTTCAAGGGAGGGGGAATGTCAGCGACAAGGCTACTGCTGACCAGGCCCAACCTGATGATCACACGGATACTGAAGAACGTGAAGGCTCCAAGGTCGGCCCAAGGCCCAGGCGCGTGGCCCAGCCAAATAGGAGGTTCGCTGGCCCCGAGTGGCATGTGTAATATAAGCTGACGGTGTGCGTGGATTCTGTATCAAAGAAGAAAAACTCCAATTAAATTCTAAATTTGTATCGCTACCTTTCCTGTTCTTCTCCTTCCTCCAGCATCGCTGACATATGGGTAGGCCTTGAATCATTAAGGTAACAATATGTTAATTTTAGTGACCGTCTCAGCCGCTTGGTTCTTTACAAGTTCGACTATCATACAGCATTGGAGATTATACCAAGTGCCAGGGCTCAAGGTAGAAGCCGATTGGAGAATATTGTAACCACCAGAAACCAGAGCGGTTAAGCATCATAACCCTCTATGGAAAATGCATCTAGCATATACATGTACAATTCTTGAGGCCCAACGAAAAAAAAAACTGTGGGTCAAGTCTCATGCGGACGACCAACTAGCAGTAGAAGTCTTTGGACATATCATGGTCAGCTCTACTCTGATGGATCCAGCTCAATGTTATGGGTTGCTCTTGAGCTTCTTTCGAGGTTTCAAGTCAACCACAATTACAGTGATATTGTCCTCAGTACCCTTCTTCAGTGCAAGCCTCATAAGATAATCAGTAGCGGCTTGTGCAGCAGGATCAGTGGATTCATCACTCCCATCACACAATGATGATGTGACACTATTGTTCTTGTGCCACATTTGGATTTGCCGACGCGCAACTTTGCATGCCTCTTCATTCGTCACTACATCCCACAATCCATCACTTGCAAGAATGAGGCAGTCGTCATCTTTCGCCCTAGGAAAGACTGTAACTTCTGGTTTTGGAACGACGAATGGTTTCAAATACCGGTCCCCTGCAACAAGTGTTTCCAAGTTAAGTTAGAAAAAGGTGACGAAAATTGGACAAATGCTATCCAACCCACAGAGAAGTCAGCTGAACTGTTGGTTCAACTAAATTTTCTTTTGAAATTGGAGGAACAATATTGTCCGAGAGTTTAGCACAATGGTGCATCTGATTTTAAGATGGCAATGAATGTTAACATTTCCAAACAAGATCCATTGATGGTTAGTCATGGTCCAAGCTGCAAGTGCCACTTGCAGGAATCATGACATGAGGTACCTTTGTCGTGTCGATTAAAGATGGCTTTTCTACTACGGAGAACTTCATTTCCTAATCACATCTGCATTCTGTGTTCTATACCATAGAAATATACTTAAAGCTCATTTTACAACTTCATTGATAGGATTAGAGCCAATATCCAGACGTCAAATCCCAGAACATGATTTCAGCAGAGTTTTAAGTCTATCATGCTTGCTATCTCGAATAGAAACAAGCAGTTTAAACCAAATCGCTGATAGAGTAAGGACTTTTTTTTAATATATAGAACAACTACAACATGGTAATTGTAAACGAGGGCAGATAAAAATAGCTCATCTTCCTAAATGGAAGCATGGCATCTAGCAAAATCACCATGCTACAGAGTATAGTACAGAGTCTTTCAACAAAATGACTTCTAGGGAAAAATTGCCTAGGTCAATATGAAACCTTATTCCATTAGATTGAAGATGATTCTCTACATCATATAGAGCGATAATAATACCACAAAAAAACTAATTCCTACAGCAACTGGTTGCTTAGATTTGATCTTAGAACTTCCACAAAGTCCTATTACACCTAACTAAGATACTTCACAACAAGCAGCAACAGCATAAGCATTTTCATTTTGCTACAACTGTAATTTCCATCCCACTTAAAAAAAGTCATTCTACCAAGATCTAACTGAGGAACCAATATACATACCAATCGATCTTGACATAGCAAGTATACCGGAGACCCGGTAGCCGTTCCATTGGATGACCTTGCCTCCCAGGGCCTCAATCCTCGCCCGCTCATCCTTCCTGTCAGGCTGAAGCAACCAAGGGTCAATCACATGAACACCATAAGCATCATGGCTAAGAAAATGAAAAAGCTCACCTTGTGATCAATCGACAGCTCTACGGGCTCTTTTCCACGGCAGAGGACGACACGCGAATCCCCGCAGTTGGCGACCACCACATGGGACGAGCACACAACAGCGACAACCGCAGTCGAGCCCACGTTCTCGGCAGCCACCGGCCGTGACTCCTGGACGCCACCGATGAGCCTGCTCGCCTGCCCTGACACCTCGTCATCCAGCCTCTGGAAACACCTGGTGAACAGCTCGTCCCAGTGCTCCTTCATGTCCACCTCGCTCGTCTCCCCCAAATCCTTGCCGAGTAGCCTCAGCTCCTGCCGCAACAGCACCTGGAGCCTCTCCCGGCAGTAGTTGGCCACCTGTACATCGACAAGAAGCGACGGATCAGGTGTCATCGATTGAAGCGGCTTTTGAAGGCTCCCAAGCCCGCGGGCGTACCTCGGCGCCGCCGTGGCCGTCGAAGACGCCAAACAGGTGCGCCGGCAGGCGGAGCGCGTCGGCGTCGAGGCCCAGGCCGTCGAGGTCGCGGCGGCTGGCGAGCAGGCGCACCGGCACGTCGGCGAAGCGCGGGGCCGCGGCGCAGGCGTCCTCCATCTCGGCGCTGCGGCCGCGCGTGGACGCGCAGCCCCAGACCGGCGCGCAGTCCATGAGGTAGACGCTCCTCTTGCCACCGGCGCCGGCGCCGGTGGCAGCGAGATCCAGCTTCTCGATCCCCGGCGCGCATTCCGCGGCGGCGGAGGCCGCCTCGTCATCCACGCAGATCGCCGTCGCCGCCGCCATCACGAAATCGCAGCAAAAACCCCGCCGGTCCCCAACCCGCTCGTCCCTTGCCCAACCGCGGCGCCGGAGAACCACCGCCACCGCGAGAGGCGGCCACCAGGCACGCACCTGAGACGCGAGGAAGCGGCGGGCGGACGGGCCGGCCTTGCAGTAGGAGGAGCGGCGTGGTATGGCTACAGACTACAGTCTCGGTGGGGTGGGTGATGGGGAAGCCGAGGAGGAGGGTGGGGTGGGGTGGTGTGGTGGTGCGCGCGCGCGTGGGGGGGAGAGAGAGAGGGAGGGGGAGGGGGAGGGAAGCAGAAAGGGTGGAGGAGGGAAGGAGGGAGAAGGACGGGAAGAAGCGAGGTGGGAGGAGGGGATTGGCCCGGGGGCCGCGCCGTAGCGGGCAGGTCTCCCCAACTCGTCACGCCGCTAGGGAGGGTCCGCGTGGCGGGTCGCTTGATATTATTATTTGTCGCGTACTAGTACTCGCGTGCGCGCCCCCTCTCCCTCTCTCCTCTCTCTCTCTCTCCTAGTCGGCCATACCTCCCCTGGTTTCTGCTACCTTCACGCCACCCCCAGGGCACACCTGTTGCACTCCCACTCGCTCGCATGTGGGTCGCTGTGCCTGTGCGTGACCACTTCGTGCCGGTTTGTCAGTACTAGTGACGCGTGTTTATTCGCCTGAAATTTGAAATTTAGGTGACCTTAGCACTTTTATTTTTATTTAGCAATTAGTGTTCAATTATAAACTAATTAGACTTAAAACATTCGTCTTATAATTTTCAACTAAACTGTATAATTAGTTTTTTTTTCGTCTACATTTAATGCTCCATGTATCATAAGATTCGATGTGATGACTACTTTAGCATTTTTAGAATTTGGGATGGAAACTAAACGCGCGCAGGCGCATGTTCGATCTTCACGAGAAGCCTGACACTTACGGATTTTTCCTGACTTTCGTATCAGCCAGGGTTATTAGTAGTTTTTCTTCCACGATAAAATAGCATTAGCTGATTTATAAGCCACGCAAACGAGGTGAACGGGTGTTTTCTGATATGTACTGTACGTGTGTGCAGCGAACTGTTTCGTGTCTCCGGTGCTCACTACGCTTTGAAAAGATATATTTGTATCTGCAACATACTCAAGTGAAATTTTCTGAGGTTCCTAGAGTATCTAATAAGCTCTTATTGGTACTTTGGATTTTATACATTTCTTTTCACAGACCACTCTTTGAACTCGTAGCATCCTCGAGTGAAATGCCAAATAATGGAGTATATATCAATTATTATCAGTCTAATAATAATTCACTCATAATAAATATCTGATATGTGAGCTAAGCTGCATATGGATCATTATATATTATCCTTTTCATTCTGCTCTCTTATGTTTTTTGCTTGACAAGTTTAATAGCGAAGCACGAGTTGGGCTATTCAATCACGGTGTTTATTTTGATTGTCGTATTTATATACAAGTCATATCTTTTTTTTTTTGTGATGCTGCAACATCAAGAATTTCCTGGACTGAGTATATTACTTAGGAGTATCTAGACTTTAAACGTACAGTATTTGCAACTACTATCATATAGGAGTAGTTAAGTTTTGGCTAGTATAGACAGAAGAATTTCATGGACTTTCATATAGGATTTTATCCTCGTCGGGCAGTTTGAGTGATTGTAGGACAAAAAATATTCCTCCCATTTAATATTAATATAAAGATTTGTGGGACAAACCGTATATATATAGATTATTATAGCCAGCACAGTTCGAGCTAATAGAGATGTTGGCTTTAGGAAAAAGTGATAGGATAGATAGATAAGGCACCTGTGAAACTACCATCGTTCCATCACAAGCTAAAATTCACCGCTTGTATCGTCGGTTGCCGAAATTTGCCAGGAGGTCTAGGGGCAGAATCCAAATGCATCCTAAGTTCTTTCCTGCCCATAAATTTTGCAAAATTATGTCTTTTACAAAGATATCTCCCAAGGACGTTGATCCCAAGACACCTCGCCATAGGGTGACGCGTAGCATTTGCCGTGTTATCCCTCCCAAAGCCAGGAGTAAAAATTGTTGTTTATTCCAATATAGCACTGAGTGAAAGCATCTAAATTTGACTTACTTTTATATAAAAAGTATGAATATTTATAGTAGTAAACAATTCTTCATTGAATACCGTATCTATTTCGTGCCATAAATCATAACCAGAAGAATTCCCCGTGCGTTGCTGCGGGGATATATCCAACTTGGGCGCATAGTTGGTGGCTTGGGGTGCATTAAAGGAACTAAGTGGAGAACAATACGTTGCGTCTTGATGGCTTGGCAACAAATGCAATTTAGTGTTTGAAGTTATTTTTGATCGGGCTCGCGAATACAATTTAGTGTTTGTACTTAGTGATTTGGTGGGGCTCAATAATGACGCGGCCTCACGAAATCTCAAAGAAATAGGTAGTGGAGTTTTGTTTTATAAGAGTATAAGATTATAATATGTTTTGAGTGAAAGCATCTTAAATTTGATTTAGTTTATATAAAAACATTAAAATTTATGGTACTATACAATACTACTACGTATATTATATATTATTATGACACACCAGCCAGGGACCAGCCAACGCATGCGTCCGCGCGTGGTAAACCCCTGTGGCGCCGAGATGATCTCCATCCGATCCGACCATCCCGATCCCTTTCGCCCTTCTACGACCATCGCCCCTCAGCCTGACACGTTGCGTCCGCTCAGGTCGGAGGCGGAGCCCCACCTCTCATCTTTCAAGGCAGCGGGGTCCACGCCTCCCCCAGCGACCCAATCGGAGCCCGCCACTTGGCCACGTCGGGCGCGAGAAAAGCGTGCCTTCTCTTTCCGAGAGAGAGACGACCAGACGAACGACCGCGATCGCCTGTGCTTTACGCCGGCGGGCCGTGTGCGACGCGCCGATCGCCACACGCCGGACACGCCAGCTAGCAGTATCGCCGTTCCCGGCCGGAACGGATAGCGCTTGATCGCATGTACGGTACCGGACGTCGGGATCATCGTAGCTGCTACTCGATCGACACGGCGCCGACAGCGACGCCTACGATCTATACGCGGGCCGCGGCTAAAGGAGGATGGAGCGGTTGAGCTGGTAGGTTCGTCGCGCCGGCCGGGTCGTCTCGTCAGCGTCACGTCGCCAAGCGAGGGCTCCAGAAGTAGGCGTAGGCCTCCGTATCGTATCGTATCGTAGTGCCATCCATTCCATATACAGTAGTATGTACTTTCCTCCTCGACGGGTTTTTTTTGGGTTTCTGGAGAATGTACGCTGTTGTGCGACAGGGAGGTTGCCACGTACGCTACAGTGGCGAGGAGGAGGATGCGTGCGTGACCCCGGGCGATCCGATCCAGATCCGAAACCCAGGACGTCACGTGACCGTTCGCACCACCAGGCGGCGCGCGGTCGGGAGATGAGCTCGGACGACGACCGAGACCCAGCCCACTGCGACTGGGACTCCCTGGGTGAGTCTCCGACACACGGTGAGCCGGTGACGCGGCCGGGGACGGGGGGACTGGGGTCGGGGTCCGACAAGGCTGCTCCAGGCGCATTAATGATTGATTGACGAGTACCGACCGATCACCTCACGCCCGATGACGATGACTTGTCAGGTGCCACGCCATGGGTAGACCGATCTGTTGGACACTTGGCGCCCGGCCGTTCCAGCAGGAAAGGAAGGATGGATGGGTGCCCATCAATCATCATGCCGTCCGTCCTTGTCCGCGGCTGGATGTGTCCCTCGTCTCAACAAAAATGTGCTCCTAACTCTTGCTGTTTTCCAAACAGTTTTTTTTAAAAAAAGTACTTCCCTTCGTTTGGGTTTACTTGTCAGAAACTTTTTTACTGTAGCAAATTTGACCATCTGTTTTTTTTCTAAAAAAATCTTAAATACTTCAATGTATATAACACTAATGAAGTATGTTCAATAAAGAATCATATATGTGAAAACTTGATGTATTTAAAAATCTTTTGCAAAAAAAAACGTACGGTCAAATTTGCTACAGTAAAAATTCGATGAAAGTAAACGAAAACGGAGGTAAGTATTCAACACCGAATACATATTATATTGATTATGCAATATATGTTCATAGTATATCTATTTTTAAATTATAAATGTTGATAATGTTTCTATAAATTTAGTCAAATTTAAAAAAGTTTAACTTAATCCAAACCTATAATTATATCCTTCAACTCCATCTGCCAAAGATGGAGTGAATAGGGATCTCTAGGGCATTTATGTCATTTTTTCACCTCCACTAACTCGTTCTCGAGAATCTAGACTTGCATTTTTTCTATGAAATGAGGGAGTAACGTAGGGGTAGCTTTCCTTTCGTTAGTGTGAAGGAACACAGCAAATCACGTGCTCTACTCGTGGCCTCTCAAAAGCGAGATGAGAAGAGAAATTCGTCGCCAAAGATGCGAAGAGAGAGATTTTTCCTATATAAAAAAAGTAAAAAAAAAACAGACTGAAAGGAAAGATCTGGGAAGAGAGGAACTGCCTCTGCCTGCCTGCCTGCCTGCCGGCTGGCGTGCTGGGGATATGCATCTGCAGGAGCCCGGTCGCCGTCGCCGTCGCCGATCGGTACGTGCCCCTCGCCGTGGCGCCCCGACATTGGCCCAAGTGTCCCAGGACCACCTTTTTGTGCTGTGCGTGTGAACGGAGCTGCCAGTGCCAGCGCGGGCATCTTTGCCTCGTTCCCATGCCACGATTAAAAATAGTGCTGGCTGATTTATTATGAGAGAAAAATATTATTTATTTATAAAAAAATATTTTATAAGCTAAACGAACAGAGCGTTTTTTTCATCTGTGGACACACGTAGCTCTCGTACACCACGTACCTTGTCCAAGGCAGTAAGGCATGCAGCGCAGCTCGGCCTTTCTGGAGCACAAGTTCGACGGGGTCGCTCAGCGGAACGCTTCAGGGACCAGACAGCAGGGGGCCGATGAATGCAGCCGGGCGGGAATCAGCTAGCAGCATGCGAAACATATGCTCGGGATGGA